GGACTTCCACTCCCAGAATCCCCCAGCCAGCCTGCTTTAAGAGGGGTGGACTTCCACTCCCAGAATCCCCCAGCCAGCCTGCTTTAAGAGGGGAGGACTTCCACTCCCAGAATCCCCCAGCCAGCCTGCTTTAAGAGGGCTGGACTTCAACTCCTAGCCTGCTTTGACAGGTCGACCCAGAATTCTGCAACCCTCAGTGGCATTGATGGTTGAGGAATTCTGGGAGTTGAAGTCCAGCCATCTTCCAATTGCCACGGTTGAGAAATTTGGTGTTGGAGGCTGAATGGTGGCCAAATACACTGGCGATCTCTTGCTGACCTTTCCTCTTGTCCCATTCGCTTCTTTAAAGGTGGTCAACGTGGTTGGCATTTCGGTGGGAACCGGCTTGGCATCGGTATGCGACACCCTCATGTCCCAGGTACCATGCGTTATGCTTAAAAACCACGGGGATTCGCTTAAAGACAGGGGTGGGATTCAAAAATGGGCGTGGCCATGGTGGGCGTGGGAACTTCCGGCAGGGCCATTTTCCGCCTTCCCCAGAGTCCGGAGGCTTCCCTCGGGCCTCTGGGAAGGTGAAAACAGCCTCCACTGGGCTCTGGTGGCCCTCCGGAAGTTGGAAACAGGCCCATTTCCGGACTTCCGGAAGGCCCGCTTTTCACCCTCCCTTTTCTGGGTCCATGCGCATCCTGCACTTACCTGCATCCAAAATGGGCCACATGGAGACTCCAGGGAGGGTAGGGGTGGTGTGGGTGGGACTAGCCGGTTGGTTCAACTAACGGTTCGGCAAACCAGGTGTAAATTTCCCAGCTGCCCTGAGATAAGTGATGGATTTTTTAATTTTATTTTATATTTTATTAATTTTTTACTTGATTATTTTATTTTTTACTCTATTATTTTTATTTGATGTTATTATTTTATTTGATTTTTTATTTGATTTTTTACTTTATTTTATTTGTTTATTATTTTACTTTATTTTTTATTTGATTAGTTTAGTTTTTTATTTGATTATTTTAGTTTTATTTCAGTTTATTTTTTACTTGGTTATTTCAGTTTATTTTTTGCTTTATAATTTTATTTTATTTTTTACCTTATTTTAGTTTTATTTTATTTCATTTTAATATTTTGTTTTATTTTTTATTTGATTATTTTAGTTTTATTTTAGTTTATTTTTTTATTTGGTTATTTTTTTATTTCAGTTTATTTTCTTATTTTTTACTTGGTTATTTCATTTTATTTTTTGCTTTATGATTTTATTTTATTTTTTACTTTATTTTAGTTTATTATTTTACTTTATTTTTTTATTTGATTAGTTTAGTTTAGTTTAGTTTTTTATTTGATTATTTTAGTTTTATTTCAGTTTATTTTCTTATTTTTTTTTACTTGGTTATTTCATTTTATTTTTTGCTTTATAATTTTATGTTATTTTTTAACTTATTTTATTTTTATTTTATTTCATTTTAATATTTTGTTTTATTTTTTTATTTGATTTTTTTAGTTTTATTTTAGTTTATTTTTTTATTTGGTTATTTTTTTATTTCAGTTTATTTTCTTTTTTTTACTTGCTTTTTTTTACTTGATTATTCTTTTTTAATTTTTTTACTTGATTATTTTATTTTTATTTTATTTTATTATTTTATTGTATTAATTTCTCTTTCTCTCTCTTGTTAACCAGACTTATGGGAGTAAAAACGTGAAGAGAGTCGGCACCATCCTGCAGCGAGGCATCCTGATCCTTCTCCTTTTCTGCTTTCCCTGCTGGGCCCTTTTTCTCAACACTGAGCAGATCCTGCTGCTTTTCCGACAGGATCCCGAAGTCTCCAGGTGAGGCTCGCGTGAATGAGCGATTGCGTGCGAGCACACACCAGGGCCTTGTGCAGTCACACCCGCATTCCTGAACTATAACCCCTTTTGGCTGTAGTGACCCATTTACTTTGACAGCCTGGGCTATTTGCCGTTATTTATTTGCTCACTAAGAAAGGATTTTTCGAAAATGACCATCAAAGCATTAGTATTTCCTATATTATTATTATTAACATGCTCGGATGCTAAGGACTTCTACTCCCCCTCCCCACCTGGAAAGAAATCTGTTCCAAATCAAAACACAAGCAGAGGAGAGGAGTTTTAGTTTCACAGCACCAAGCAGCTTTAGTATAGAACATTGAGCTAAGACACGCCCAGGCTCCTTGCTGTCTCCTTGCTCATTCAGCAAATACTGTTTCAGTTTCCAAACAGCCCTCAACTCTCACACATTGACAGGATGCTAGTGAGATGAATACTGATGGATTCTGGTAGGCAGAGGCAGAATTTCCCCCCTTTATTTTCCTCCCCAAAAAGTAAGCCTGACCACATAGTTTCATAGTGAAGCACGGGTATCGAGCTACTTGATCATAATTGCGCCAGTCATTGATATTTATAATACATTTTTAAATGTTCACTTGACTGAGTTTCATGTTTAATGAATAAAAGAGATAATAATATTAATAATCAGATGAGTCCTTGGTTAGGACTTCAACTATTAAGTTTTACCAGTCCCAGACTGAATCGATAATAATAATAATAATAACAACAACAACAGCAATAACAACCGCAATAACAACAGAAAGAGCCTGAAAATGGCCTAAAAACCAGTCAGGTTTAGGCCCATTTCTCGCGCCATTTTCAGGTAGTTTTTCAGGCCATTTTGTCCCCAAAACTAGCTGAAAACAGCCCGAAAAAGGGCCTGAAAATGATCCCAAACCCAGGCCATTTTGGGGCCATTTTCAGGATGTTTGGGGGGGGGGCTGTTTTTCCGGCCATTTTCAGACTCTTTTGGCCCCAAAAATTCACTGAACCCCTCCCCAAAACATCCTGAAAATGCCCTCAAAATGGCCTGAAAATGGCCCCAAAACCAGGCCAGTTTGGGCCCATTTCTGGCCTACTTTTAGGCCAGTTTTCAGGATCTTTTTGGCCCCAAAAGGCCAAAAACAACCCCCAAAAATCAGCCCGAAAATGGCCTGAAAACAATCCCCAAACCAGGCCATTTGGGGGGCGTTTTCAGGATGTTTTGGGGGACTGTCTTCCGGGCCATTTTCACCACATTTTTCAGGCTGTTTTTGGCCCCCAAAATAACCTGAAAACGGCCCAGAAACAGGCCGAAAAACTGGGGCCAGCCAACGGTGGGATTTGCCAGTTCGCCAAACTCTGCCTAGTCTTAACTACCGGCCCGCCAGAATCGGTGCAAACTGGCAGCATCCCTCCTCTGGCTGTACTTCAGGTCCCTTTTGGCTGCTTCAAGTATTGCAGTGGATAACAAACCCGGTTATAAACCAAACAAACCATGGCCATACGTGTGGGGCAGGAGGTCAAAAAAGCCAAGGAAGCATCTGTTTTTGAGGGCCCCCTTAAAATAACATAATCACTCAGGAAATACAGCTTTTCTGAAAGAAAAAGTTTTTTAAGTGATGGTGGATTATCGAGAGTCCTTGACTTATGACATTTAAGGTCTGTTCCATGGAAAAAAGTGACTTACGACCATTTTCCACACTTACGACCATTGCAGATCCTCATGGTCACGTGGTCAAAATTCAGAGGCTTGGCCCCCGACTCACATTTATGATGGTTGCCGTGTCCCAGGGCCACACTATCCCCTTCGACGCCCTGAAAAGCCAAGTCAATGGGGGATTCCAGATTCACTTAACAACCATGGGACTCACTTAACAACCACAGCGATTCACTTAACCACGGTGGCAAGAAAGGTTGCACAATGAGGCCAAATTCACTTAAGAAATGTCTCAATAACAGAAGTTTTGAGCTCTGTTGTGGTCATAAGTCAAGGGCTACCCACACACTGGTTTATGCTGATGCTACTTTCAACCTACACATGCACGCAAAAGGATGCCCATCGCAGGCGTCCCTTTCAAGAAATCCGTCCAGATCAAATTAAGCCATCAACCCAATTAAACCACGTCTTTAATTTTCTCTGAATAGAATAGAATAGAATATTGAATTCTTTATTGGCTACGTGTGATTGGACACCCAAGGAATTTGTCTTGGTGCAAATGCTCTCAGTGTACATAAAGGAAAAGATACATTCGTCAAGAGTCAAGAATCATCAGGTGCAATACTTAATGATAGTCAGAGGGTACAATAAGCAACCAAATCATATGAGGAAACAGGCAGTATAAATGGTAAGGATACAAGCAACAAAGGATACAAGTTACAGTCATACAGTCACAAGTAGGAGGTGATGGGTGATAAGAAGTGATGAGAAGATTAATAGCAATAGTAGTGCACTACTATTTACCAACTTTGTAAATAGTTGGACAGTGTTGAGGGAATTATTTGTTTAGCAGAGTGATGGCGTTCGGGGAACAAACTGTCCTTGTGTCTAGTTGTTCCAGTTCTGCAGTGCTCCATAGCGTCGTTTTGAGGGAAGGAGTTGAAACCGTTTATGTCCGGGATGTGAGGGGTCTGTAAATATTTTCACAGCCCTCTTTTTGACTCGTGCAGGACACAGGTCCTCAGTTGAAGGCAGGTGGGTAGCAATTGTTTTTTCTGCAGTCCTAATTATCCTCTGAAATCTGTGTCTGTCCTGTTGGGTTGCAGAACCAAACCAGAGAGTGATAGAGGTGCAGATGACAGACACCATCATTCCTCTGTAGATCTGTATCAGCAGCTCCTTGGCAGTTTGAGTTTCCTGAGTTGGCGCAGGAAGAACATTCTTTGTGGTGCTTTTTGGATGATGTTTCCATTTTAGGTCTTGTGATATGATAGAACCTAGAAATTTGAATGTCTCTACTGTTGATACTGTGTTGTCTAGTTTGGGTGGAGCGCGGAAAAAGACAAATGGACAAAAAGAGCCGGTTTAACATCACAGATTCTCCTATTTCATGCCGGCAGGACTGTGTTTGCTTTTTTAAAAATCAGAAAAGGCTGGATTGCGTGTTCCAAAAACACACCTTGCTCTTATGTAACAGCTATACGACCTATCTTTTTTAAATTCCCTTTTTTTGTTTTTCATCTCTTCTCTCGTTCCTGTTTTTTGGGGGTGCATATTTTTTAGGGGAAGAAGGAGTTAATAGCAGATCCTTAAATTTCTTTTTCTTATAAACAACAACAACACAGTTCTGCCTTACAAGAGAACCTCCAGTGAAAAGGGCAGTCTACTTTTGAGGGCTGGGCCCTGGGCATTGAGAAAGGAAGGCTTCCAATATTTGTGCTTGTCTTTGAAACAAGAGTTTGTGTGTGCGTACGTGTGTGTTACAGGCAGACACACACCCATACATGAATAGAGGTGTGTGTGTGTGTGTACACATATGCACACACACATATATACATACACACACACACACATATATGTAGTCCTCAAATTACGACCACAGTTGAGTCCAAGATTTCTGTTGCTGAGCTAGGGAGTTGTTATTTGAGTTTTGCTCCATTTTAGGACCTTTCTTGCCAGAGTTGTTAAGTGAAGCACTGTGCTTGTTACATCACTAACCTGGCTGTTAAGTGAATCTGGCTTCCCCCATTGACTTGGCTTGTCAGAAGGTCGCAAAAGGGGAACATGTGAACTCCAGACACTATGTGATCGTCATAAATACGTGTCAGTGGCCAAGCGTCTGAATTTGAATCACGTGACCAGAGGGATGCTGCCATGGTTGTGTGAAAAATATTCCCAGGTCACTTTTTTCAGTGCCGTTGTAACTTCGAAGGGTCACTATATGAATTTTTGTAAGTTGAGGGCTACCTCTACTGCCTCCCTACCAGGGTTCCCGTCTCAATCACTCAGAATAGGGCTTGGAGGTCATCTAGTCCAACCCCCTGCTCAAGCAGGAGACCTTATATATCATATCTATCTTATCTATCTATATTTATCTATTTATTATCTCTATCTAGCTATCATCTATCTATTATCTATCTATATCTGTCTATTTTTTATCTCTATCTATCCATCCATCCATCCATCTATACCTAACCTACCTACAATACATCTATCTTATCTATCTATCATCTATTATCCATCCATCCATCCATCCATCCATCCATCCATCCATCCATCCATCTATCTATCTCTACCTACCTACAATACATCTATCTTATCTATCTATTATCTATCCATCTATCCATCCATCCATCCATCCATCTATCTCCATCCATCCATCTATCTCCTTTACCATTTCAGACAAGTCGCTATTCAGTCTCTTCTTAAAAGCTGCCAGTGATGAAACATCCACAATTTCTGGTGGCAAGCAGTTCCACAGGTTAATTGTTCTGACTGTCAGGAAATTTCTCCTTAGTTCCAGGTTGCTTCTCTCCCTGATTAGTCTCCACCCGTTGCTTCTTGTCCTGCCTTCAGGGGCTTTGGAGAATAGCTTGACTCCCTCCTGCTTTGGGGCACCCCCTGAGATATTGGAAGACTGCTATCATGTCACTCCTGGTCCTTCTTTTGTTCCATCCCATTAAAAAGTGTTTTTTTTTCTTCCTGGCAGATTAACCCACATTTACGTGATGATCTTCATTCCAGCTCTGCCGGTAAGTGTTTCGTTGGCTGCGTTCGCACCACACATACACATCAGGCGAAAACAGATCCAGGGAAAGACCGTCTGTCGGTTGTGTGAACAGGACTTTGGAAGGTGAAGTGAACAGCTTGTTGGGTTAAGAAGAGATGATGGCTTGTTAGCCGAGACCTGAGTTGGTAGAGGAGGGCAAGCGTTAAGTTTCATTAACCGGGCTTCAGAGTTCAGGGTGCAGTGTGAATCCCAAGTGAAGGGTTATTTGAAGAAGAAGAAGAAAATTACAGGGAGTCCTCAACTTACAGTGGTTCATTTAGCGACCGTTTGAAGTAAAAACGGCACGGAAAGAAAGATGACTCGCGGCAACCTTTCCAGCATGGTCACGTGATCAAAATTCAACAGCTTCCACTTTATGATGGTTGCAGTGTCCCCAGGGTCACGTGATGCCCCTATTTGCGACCTCCTGGCAAGCGAAGTCAATGGGGAAGCCGGATTCACTTAACAACCATGTGACTCGCTTAACAACGGCAGGGATTCACTTAACGATGGTGGCCAGAAAACCCGTAAAGTGGGGCAAAACTCACTTCACACATTTCTCACTCATTTTGGGCTCAAAGGTGGCTATGACCAGAATTTCCGTTGCTAAGCAAGGCAGTTGTTAAGTGAGCCGTGCACAAATCTTTCTTGTGCCACTGTTATTAAATGAATTAGTGCAAGTAGAGTTAGTGCTCCCCTTAATAATCATTGGTTTAGTGACCAAAGGAACAACGGCACTAGAATACGTGACTTATGGCCGTTTTTCACAGGAATGACTGTTGCAGCATCCCAACAAGCTCAAAATTCAGATATCTGGCAACTGACTCATATTTATGACGGTAGCATTGTCCCAGGGTCTATGTGATCTCCTTTTATGACCTACTGCCAAGCAAAGTCAATTGGGGCAAGCCCGATTCGTTATACAACTGCGTGATTCACGTAACAACTGCAGTGGTTCGCTTATCGACCATGGCAAAAACGGCCGTAAAATGGGAGAAAACTCATTTAACAGCTGTCTCACTTAGCGGTAGAAGTTTGGGGTTCAGTTGTGGTTGTAAGTCTAGGATTGCCAGTAAGTGAATCATACGGTCTTTAAGCGAATCGGGCTTCTCCCACTGAATTTGCTTGTCCGAAGCCAGCTGGGAAGGTCACAAATTGAGATCACGTGACCCCAGGAAGCTCTAACCATTGTAAATACATGCCTATCACCAAGCATCCAAATATGGTCACCTGACTCTGACGGTCGTAAGAGCGAGGACTGGTCGCAAGTCACTGTTTTTCATCACGGTCCTAATTTCGAATGGTCACTAAATGAAGTTATTTTAATTACTTCTCTATTTTTTATGACCCATATTAAGTCGCCCGGCATCGTTGACATATCGGGGAAGATTGGCAGCCTATAAATTTAATAAAGAAAAAAAAAACAGTCCTAAGTTGAGGACTTACTGAATCGTTGCTTTTTTTTTTTCTCTCTTCCTCATTGACTATCCACTTGGGACCCTCTCCTTCCTTGTGTGGCAGGAAAAATAAAACAAAAATGAATAAAATAACAGTGAAACTGATTTTTCAATCCGAGAAACTAATTTTAATCTGTGCATTTTCAGGCTGCGTTCATCTACCAGCTGGAAACACGCTATTTGCAAAGTCAGGTACGTCTTTTCTTCATAGCAGAATTTCCTGGGAGAGGCAACCATACCTTAAAAGTAGCAGATTAGGATAATGCTTAAAATAGCATAAAATAGAATTCTTTATTGGCCAAGCGTGATTGGACACCCAAGGGATTTGTCTCTGGTTCATAAGCTCGCACTGTGCATTTAAAAAAATAAAGCAATAGATCCTATATTAGTGATGGCTAACTTTTTCCACCTTGCGTGCCAAAAGTGCGCTCGAGTGCCTGCATCCATAATGCTCCCCCTTACACATGGGCACAGGACCACACACACCCCGGCACTGCACACCTCTGTGCATGTGCACGCAACCTTTTGTGGTTTGCAGGCAGCAGGTGCGGACGGCTGAGGTCTCAGAGAGCGAGGACTCGGATGAGGGGCCTGCGTGGGATGCAGGGATGGGGCCAGGACTATCAGGGAGTGGAGTGCTGCCTTCGGAGATTGTGGAGGCTGGCAGTAGTGAGGAAGAGGTCCCTGAGGAGCCTGTGCCCAGTGTGTGCAGGGCTGCTTGAAGGAAAGAGCAGCTGCAGCAGCACGGGCGACTCAGGAGTAAGGCTGCAAGGTAATGGCCTCTCCCTTAAGGGATAAAAGCCAGCTGAGAAAACGGAGTTCTTTGCAGGAAGGAAAGAAGTTTTTGTACTCAAGCCTGGTGGACGTTCGGAATATCTTGGTTTGTGTTTGGGGACTCTTTGTGTTTGAAATATTTCTTAGTAACTTTATCTAGTGTTCTTGGCAGCCTTGCACAACCTTGGCAAGGCTTCTCCTTATCAGAGACAATTAGTTTGAAACAGCCTTTTAACCGGGAAGGAACGGAATCCTTAAAGAATCATTAAAAGGTTTTGCTGTCACCTCTGTTTTGTGGTTGTTTCCTTGGAACAAGGTTTGGGTCAGAACACAACCCCTCCACATGCCGCATGCCTCTGCGCATGCGTGTGCATCTCCCCCGCGCGCATCTCCCCCCACGCCTGCGCAGCAGATACCCGAAAATCGGCTAGCAGGGAGCAGCACACGTGAATGTGCAGTGGGGCTCTTCCAGGCGACCTCTTGCGAGCCGGCAGAAGTGGCTCTGCGTGTGCCATAGGTTCACCATCACGGTTCCTATATTATAGAGGTGGTGTTCACACAAATCCTTTTCTCACATTCCAGGCTGTGCTCTTGCCTCAAGTAGTGACCGGCGTGGTGGTGAACGTGTTGAACGTGATCATGAACACCATTTTCCTGCACTCCTTCAAACTGGGTGTGGTGTAAGTGTGACAGATTTCCTGTCGATTCAAAGCAGGGGTAGGCAGCCCGTGACTCTAGAGCCGCATGTGGCTCTTTCATCCCTCTGATGCGGCTCTTTTTCGCTGGTTGGCGCCACAATTTTGAGAGGAGCTTCCGGTTGTGGGAGGGGTCGGGGAAAGTATGGGACACCAGGAGGAGACTCTATGGCTGTGATGGCAAACCTCTAGCACGCGTGCCACAGGTGACACGCAGAGCCATTTGTGCGGGCACGCGAGCCCCAAGCAAACGTACCTGCACTGCGCATGTGCGTACCTCCCAGCTGATTTTCGGCCTGTTTGAGCCCGTTTTCGCCTGTTTTCGCCCTCCAGGAGGCTCGAGGGAAGCCTCTGCAGCCTCGGGAGGCCGAAAAACGGGGCTTCCAGAAATATCGGAAGTGCCGAAACAGGCCCGTTTTCAGCCTCCTGAGGCTGCAGAAGCTTCCCTTGAGCCTCCAGGAGGGCAAAAACAGCCTCCCCTGGGCTCCAGAGGCCCTCTGGAGGCTGAAAACAGGTACTTCCGGAAGGCCCATTTTTCGGCCTCCCGAGGCTGCAGAGGCTTCCCTCGAACCTCCAGGGAGATCGAAAACAGCCTCAAACGGGCTGAAAAATCAGCTGGGAGGTATGTGCATGTGCAGTGCAGGGAAGGGGGCAGAGCGCATTGCATTGTGGGTGCCGGCACATACGCGCACCTGCGCTTTCGGCACATCCAACGAAAAGGTTCACCATCACTGCTCTATGGCAAAAGGGCAGGTTTTCCGGTCGGCTCCACAATTGATAGGGCTTTCTGTTAGGACAGGTAGAGGAAAAAGGACTAGGACAGTGGTGGCTAACCTTATTGGGCTCCTGTGCCCAAAATTGCATGCCAGGTCCTAGAATGAAGTGCACACACCCCTCCCCACACCCCCTGCGCATGCACTGCGCCTCACAGCTGGGTTTTTTTTGGGTTGGTTCGAGGCCATTTTTGGCCTCCCAGAGGCTTGGAAGAAGCCTCTGCAAGGCTTTTCAGGCCGAATTATAGGCCTGTTTCATTACTTCCGGTATTACAGGAAGTGACGGAATGGACCTATGATTTGTTCCTGAAAAGCCTTGCAGAGACTTTTTCCAAGCCTCTGGGAGGCCAAAAATGGCCTCGAACCAACCCAAAAACAACCCAGCTGTGAGTCACGCGTATACGCAGTGAGGTAAGTTTGTCTGCGGCTTGCGTGCCGGCACAGATGGCTCTGCATGTGACTTGTGGCACGTGTTCCATAGGTTCGCCATCATGGGACTAGGAAGAGACTCTATGGTAGGGAGACTGGACTTCTGGTCGGCTCCAGAATTGAACGGGGTGGCTCCGGGTTAGGACCTTTGGGGCTCTTTGAGTGTTTATAGTTGCCGACCCCCTGGTCCAAAGTCTTGAGTTCAAAACGTAATGCTCATAATTTCCCGCGGGTGGTTCGTTGCTTGAAACAGCCAGAGAGGTGGCTTAAAATCTTCCAGAAGACGGGTAGTCCTCGAATTACAACGGTTCATTTAGTGACCCTGTGAAGTTAGGACGGCACTGAAAAAAAATGACTTAGGACCGTTTTTCACACAACGGCTGCAGCGCCCCATGATCACATCATCAAAATACAGAGGCTTGGCAGCTGACTCATACTTATGACGGTTGCAGCATCCTGGGGTCATTCTGATAAGCCAAGTCAATGGGGAAAGCTGGATTCACTTAACAACTGCATGATTCATGATTCACTTAACGACTGCAGTGATTCTGCTTATCAATAGTGGCAGAAAAGGTTGGAAGATGGGACATTTAACAAATGTCTCGCTTAACAACAAAACTTTTGGGCTCAGTTGTGGTTGTAAGCTGAGGATTACCTGCAGAGAGGGGATTTACAACCATTCGCTTAGGGTGATGATTTGCTTATCAGTAGTGGCAAAAGAGGGTGTAAAGTCAGGCATGACTCACAAGCTGCCTCGTTTAACGACAAATTCTGGTCTCAGTTGTGGTTGTAAATCGTGAATCTACCCGAATGAAGTTGCTAGCTGTCATGAGTTCAATCAGAGAAGATGGCCAAACATTAAGGCTTTCTCTCTCTCTTTTTCTCTCTCTTTGTCTCTTTTTCTGTTTCTTTCTCTGTTTCTCTCTCTGTTTTTCTCTCTTTCTCCCTCTTTTTCCTTCTCTCTCTGTTTTTCTCTCTATCTCTGCCTCTCTTTCTCCCTCCTTCTCTTTTCCTTTCTCTATCTCTATCTCTCTTTCTCTTTCCCTCTTTTTCTCTGTCCCTCTCTGTTTTTCTCTCTTTTTCTCTGTCTCTCTTTTTCCCTCTCTCTTTCTCTGTTTCTCTCTCGTTTCTTTTGGTCTTTCTCTTTCTCTCTCTCTCTCTCTCTCCCTCCCTCCCTCTCTCTCCCTCTCTCTCTTCCACAGAGGTTCAGCCTGGGCCAACACTCTTTCACAGAACCTGCAGGCATTCCTGCTCTTCCTCTTCATTTGGTGGAAAAAGATCCATAAGGAAACCTGGGGAGGTAGGGAAAAAAGCGGAATATTTTTTGGCCACCTGGGGAGGAAGGAGGGAGCATTTGAGAGACTCACCGGAAGAGCTGGGGACCCTTTCGTTCCCCCACTTCCTCTTTTCAAAAAAGTTATTTTATTTATTCTATGTTTATATGGCCCCTCGTCTCACCCAAAGGTGACTCTGGGTGGGGTACAATAATCCCATATTGCAAAGCACACCCACAGGCATAGACACACACTAACCACAAACACAGCAGACACCCAAACTGACGTAGGCACGCAGATACACATTACAAATACACAGACACAAACAGACACATACACAAACATAGACACACAAACACACGACAGATACATAGACACCCAAACAGACAGACATAGACACACAAACAGGCAGACACACTCACAGAGACACAGATACAAATGCACACATACACAAATAGATACAGATACACAAACACACCACAGATACATAGACACCCAAATAGACATAGACACCCAAACACACACACACAGAGACAGACAGACATAGACAAAAACAGACACACACACAGATACACAAACAGACATGGACACACAAACACGCAGACACACAGACATAGACACATACTCAAACAGACACATACACAAACATAGATACACAAACACACCACAGGTACATAGACACCCAAACAGACAGACATAGACACATAAATACGCAGACACACTCACAGAGACAGAAACAGACACAAATGCACACACTCAAACAGATATAGACACACAGACATAGACACACAAACACACACACACAGAGACAGACATAGACAGAAACAGACATACACACACAAACAGACATGGACACACAAACACGCAGACACACCACAGATACATAGACGCACAAACACACGGAGATACACACACAGATAAAACAGACCCTGCTCCAACAACTGGAGGCTTCCAAGAAGAGGCTGGACAAGCCTTTGTCTGAAATTCTGCAGGGTCCCCCTGCCTGAGCAGGGGGTTGGGCTAGATGGCCTCCGGGGTCCCTTCCAAATCTGTTGTCCTGTTATTCATACCCACAGAGACAGACAAGACTGTGTGTCCAAGTGTGTGTCTTTGTGTCTTGTCTGTCTCTGTGGGTATGAACAGACCTAGAAGCACACAGAGACAGCCCCCGCCCCCTCACCCTGACATGGCAGCCATCTTGTTTTGTAGGCTGGACGATGGAGTGCTTACAGGAATGGGGTCCCTTCATCTGCCTCGCTCTGCCCAGCATGTTTATGATCTGCATCGAGTGGTGGACTTTTGAGATCGGGAGCTTCCTGGCAGGTGAGACCCCCGACCCTTTCTCTCTCTCTCTCTCTCTCTCTCTCACCCCCCCTGGGGGTCTTTCACCTGTCTCTCCGGGCGGCGAGTGGCTTCCACGCTTAGGTGGAGTTACACAGGTAGTGTAACTCGGCTTGCGACCACAACTGGACCCGAAACGTTATGTCGCTAAGCGAGGCGGCGGTTAAATGAGTTTTGCCCCATTTTTATGACCTTCCTTGCCGTTGGTTGGTTAAGTGAATCACTGCAGCGGTTAACTTAGGAGTGTGGTTGTTCAGTGAACCAGCCTTCCCTCCCCCGTTGGTTTCGTTTTGCGGAAGGTCGCAAGTAACCTTGGGACCCTGCAACCGTCATAGGTATGAGTCAGTTGCCAAGCATCTGAGTTTTGATCCCGTGACCCATGGGGGTGCTGCAACGGTCATTAGTGTGAATGAGGCCACGAGTCCCTTTTTTTCAGTGCCGTTTTAACTTGGAACGGTCACTGCATGAGCTATTGTAAATCGAGGACTACCTGTATAGGTTGGTCGCACAGTCAGATGTTCAGGCTGGATTTGGGCATTTTTTGTCTACCTATTGAGACCTTCCAAAGACCTAGAATAGACAAGATGTGAATGTTTGAATAATATTAAAGGCTTTGTGGCAGGATGTCAGCCGTTCCAAGCAAAACTGCCTTCCGCAATTGACGGGGGATGAATTTGTCAATTCCGACGGAATTCAAGTGGTGATCCCCCACCCAGCCAGATGTTTAGACTGCATTTGGCATATTTTTTTTAAAAAAATAAGTTTTTAATTGAACAGACACAAAAAAGAAAAAGACATTTAAAAACAATGGATGTGGTGCAATCATCCTGACACACCTAGTTGTCTTACATTGCTAATTCCTATAAAGAATAATACATTTTATATACGTAGTATATAATATATACATAAACGTTAATCGTTTTTTATATTTTTTGATCCTTCTTAGTTTCCAACCAGTGATACTTTCCCCATATTTTGTAGTAATCAGAATCATCCTTATTTTTTGATTCTTGTGTCAATTTATCCATTTCTGCACAATTCCAAATTTTCCTAATTATTTCTGTTTCACCTGGCGTTTCTTTATCTTTCCATTTTGGGGCATAAACTAATCTTGCAGCTGTGATTACATGAATTATTAAATATATTATACCTTTGTCATATTTTCCCACCTTTCGTGTCCTTCCAAAGGACCTAGAATAGACAAATGTGAATGTTTTAATAATATTAGCGGTCTCATGGCAGGATGTAAGCCGTTCCAAGCAAAGCTGCCTTCCGCAGTTGACTGATGGTCAATTTGTCAACTCCGACGGAGTTCAAGTGGTGTTCCCCCACCCAGCCAGATGTTTAGACTGCATTTGGCATTATTGACTGCCTGTCAATTTATTCCCAAGCACCTGGGATAACCAGATGTTGTTTAATAAATATTTCGTGGCAGGATGTAAGCCGTTCCAATCAAAGCTGCCTTTTGCAATTGACCGATGGGGAATGGGTCAATTCCGGTGGTGTTCAAGTGGTACTCCATTCGTTTTGGGATTGCACTCAAGATGCCTGACACTTTTGGTACTGCTATTCCTTTCTTTTGCCCTAGTCGTTCTGTTTCTGTTTGTGGGTCTTCTCTTTGTGATATTCTCCAGTTCTTTCTCTTCTCTTCTGCCGCCACATCTACTATCCGGACGTTTGAGTCTTTCATATCAAGAAAGTTTTGTGGCAAGTGCTGTCTGTTTCAATTCTAAAATACCAGAGCAATTTAGCTTTTGTGAATGAATTTACTCTTCCAAACTTTCAGATTCATGCTGGAGACCATCCTCAGTGAATTTCTGTCTAACTCGGTGTGCTTTGGGTTATTTTGTGTGTGGCTTATATGGTGCCTGTTATGTGTGGCTTTTTAGTTTTGGATTGGGGTGTTGATGGCCGGCTATTAAGTTGTTGGCTGTTGTGTCCTTGTGCTGCCAAGCGCTCACCCTATAAATACCTGGTAAGTTGTCAGTAAATCAGCACTCCTGTTGACTGATAAGGGGACTCTTTCCCAGGCTTCAATTACTTCTCTGGCTGTTTTTGTACCAGCTCTTCCAACAATCTTAGTACCTGCAAAACTGAATGTTGGTGACTTTGTTAATGACAAATGTTGATAACAACATTCACAACTCTATCTATTTTGTGGTCCCACCAGTTCTTGCCTGCAGGCAAGTGATATTTCTTGCATATTTATTTTTGCTACCCTGTTTTCCCGAAAATAAGACTCATCCCAAAAATAAGCCCTAGCATGTTTTACGTGTGTGCATAATACCCCTCAAAATAAGCCCTACTTCAGTCGGCTGCCTGCCCTCCTTTCCATCTGGTTGCTTGCAGTGCTGTGGCCACAAGGCGGGCATGGAGGTGGTGAAGCCGCCTCATGCACCTCGCACTGGTTTACCTCAGGGCCTCGTCAGCCAGGTCATCCATGCTCCCAACACCTGCCGCACAGCGGCAGCAACAGCCTGAGCCCACCTGGCCACAGGCTCACTTCTTCTGCTTGCCCACAGCCGCAACAGAGCGGGAGGCAGAGTGGTGTGCTGGTGTTGGTGCCACGGCCACAAGGTGAGGCAGGTGTCGAGGCGTGGATGACCTGGCCGCGGGGGCTCTGAGGTAAGCTGGCGGCGGCAGTAGTGGACCACGTGGCCGCCTGCCCCCCGCACCCAAAGCAAGCAGAAGAAGTAAGTTTCTTGCAGAGGTGGTATTCATAGATTCTGACCAGTTCTGGAGAACCAGTAGCGGAAATTTTGAGCCGTTCGGAGAACCGGCAAATCCCACCTCTGACTGGCCCTGACCCCCATCTCTTCTCTGCCTCCCATTGAGTCCTAGCTGATCGGCTGGGCCTTCTTTGGTTGCCCTGCACAGGAGAAGGGAGCTGAAAAGCAGGTTAGTGGGGTGGGGAGGAATGGACATTTTACAGTAACCTTCCCCTGCCATGCCCACCAAGGCAGGCCCACAGAACTGGTAGTAATTTGTTTTTTGAATCCCACCACTGGCCTTTTGTATGTGAGGAAAAAAAATAAGACATTCCCCCGAAAATAAGCCCTAATGCTTATTTTGGGGCCCATTTCGGTCTTATTTTGGGGGGAAACACAGGTATTACCATTCAATTCATATGCCGCTCGTCTCGCTGTTTTGTGTAACACTCCTGAATCCCAACCACGTTTTCTCTCCTCTCAGGGTTAATGAGTACAGTGGAATTAGGTGCTCAGTCCATCATCTATGAACTGTCGACCATCGCGTACTTGGTAAGAATTTGCTCAATTCAGAAGGCGGGGAAGAAGAAAGAATGAACACCCGTGGGAGACTCTGAGAAGCAGGATGTCAACTCATAAAATATTTCCATGGTCTTTTTCAAGTTGCCAACAGAAAGGGAGGGGAGGAAAGGGGTGTCAAAGAGCAGTGCGGCAGCTTGGAAATCGAAAGTGCATTCCATAAATAGTTTTTTCAAAGATAGTAACTAGGTGACTGAAGTTTCTGCCAGGCAAATATCTAACGGGAGAAGCATGATTGATGACTCTGGGTTATGGAGGTGTCCCATTGGAGAATATGAATTACGATACACCCAGGGGGTGGGTGGGTGGGAACCAGGGTCAAGGGTGAACAGTGAATTACGTGTCTCAGAGTCGGCTGCACCCAGGCAGTGCCGACATGTTAACTCCCAATAAATCCTTTTGAAGTTTTGGAAGTTTGGCTCGAGGCTCAGGATTTAAAAAGTGGGGGAACTGCCGGAATTCTGACACAAGAAACATTACTTAAAATGGAAAATTTCTCATTTGCATCTGAAGGCTAATGGGGCAAACTGGGGCAGCAGGTTTCCTGCGACAGCAAAGCTCAGCTAGCTGTTACTGAGGTTAAAAAAATTCATAGAAAGTAAAGATTTACGGTATTATCTTGATACTCGACGGCTTTGAAACTTGTTGAATTTGGTACGGGCAAGCCTCAACTTACGACCACAATTGAGCCCAAAAGTCATGTTGCTAAGCAAGGCGGTTGCTAAGCGAGTTTTGCCCCCATTTTGTGACCATTCTTATCCCCGTTGTTAAGTGAATCACTGCCATTGCTAAACCAATAACCCGTTTGTTAAGTGAATCTGGTTTTCCCCCTCGATTTTGCTTGTCGGAAGGTCGCAAAAGGGGATCGCGTGACCCCGGGAGACCACAAACCGTCATAAATATGAGCCAGTTGCATCCGAATTTCAATCACGTGACCAATGGGGGATACTGTAAACGGTCGCAAGGGTGAAAAATGGCCACAAGTTATTTTTAGTGCTGTTGTAACTTCAAACGGTCACTAAGCAAACTTGTCATAAACTGAGGACTGTCTGTGCATTATTCCTTACGGGAAATAATTGTTTGGTACTTTATCATTTTTGGAACTCCTCGCCCCTGTGCCCTTGAATGAGAAGCTGCAAAGAGGACAAAATTCAGGTGGGACTCGACTCACGAACACCAATTGAGCCCAACCCTTCTGTTGCTAAGCGAGACAGTTGTTAAGTGAGTTCTGTCCCATTTTACGACCTTTCTTGCCTTAGTTGTTATAAAGTGAATCGGTGCGGTTGTGACATCAAAAGTTTGAGAAACGAAAGTATGCCTTTGGTTGGGTTAGGGCAGAGGTCCCCAAACTTTAAGACTTGTGGACTTCAACTCCCAGAATTCTGCATAGCTGGCTGGTGAATTCTGGGAGTTGAAGTCCACTGTCAGAATTCCGGCAGTTACCCCCCCATTGAAGCAAAATTTAAAGATGATTTATTGGGAGTTAACATGTCGGCATTGCCTGGGTGCAGCCGACCCGACATCATTATTGTCACCCTTGACCCTGGTTTTCCCCCCACCCTCTGGGTGTATCGTAATTCATATTCTCCAATGGGACACATCCATAGCCCAGAGTCGTCCATCATGCTCTCCAGTTAGAATTTTGCATGGCAGAAACTTCAGTCACCTGGTTACTATCTTTGAAAACATTTATGGAATGCAGTTTTGGTTTTGCAAGCTGCTGCTCCTTCCTCTCTTTCTGTTGGCAACTCTAAAAAAGACCACAGAAATATTTTATGAGTTGACATCCACAAGTCTTAAAGTTGCCAAGTTTGGAGACCCCTGGGTGAGGGGTTAACCCTGGTTGGGTTTGCACCAAAAGAATCTCTCCAAACCAAGGACTTCACTCACACAAGCTTTTTTCTCAGCTGCCACAAGGGATGAGCGTGGCCTCCAGTGTCCGCGTGGGGAATGCCTTAGGCGCCGGGGACGTTGACCAGGCCAAGAGGTCGTGCATCATGGCCCTCCTTTGCACCGGTGTGTATGTCTCTTTAAACCTTGGAGGGGGTGGAGTTGAATGCCAGCCCGGAGAATCCTGGGAGTTTGAAATCCACTGACCTCTAACGTTGCTAAGGTTATGGGACACAGCTTTAGCGGATGCCTTGTCGTACCTAAGCAGAGAAGAGGACCTGAAGGACCCTGCTAGTTTAAAAGAGCCTCAGAATCCACCCTCGATCGCCCTGATAGAGATGGATTGAGGGAGGGATAATTGGATGAATGGACTGATGGATGGAGAGAGAGAGAGATGTAGAGATGGATAGATTGGTGATGGATGGATGGATGGATATTGATCAACAGACAGATAAATAGATGATAGATGATAGATTCATAGATGGATAGGTAGGTAGGTAGATAATAGATAGATACAGGGCTGGGTGGATGGATGGATGGATGGATCATAGATAGATAATAATAAAGATTGATACATAGATTCATAGAAGAGATGGATGGATGGATGGGTGGGTGGGTGGATGATTGGATGGATGGATGGATGGATAGATGATAGATAAGGATAAAGATACATAGATTCATATAAGAGATAGATAGATAGATAGATAGATAGATAGATAGATAGATAGATAGA